GGGGGATGTGTGTCAGTATTTACAGGGGTCCCGGGGGGTGGAGGTAGGGGAAGTGTCAGTAGTGACAGGGCTTCCAGGGGCAATGTGTCAATAAGTGCTGGGGTCCTCTGTTAGTGTGTTGGTATAAACAGGGGTCACGGGGAGCATGTCAGGATTGATTATTAAGCAACAATTTACACCTCTCTCTTATTCTCAAACTCTTCTGTCCCAATGTATTTATTTTGACCACTTCCTCTAACAGCCTTTCTCTCAAAGCACCTTCAGTCTCAAACACATTTACATATGCTGTCTTTCTCTCTGTCTTCCTCACTCTCTCTCTGTCTCTCTCTCACTCTCTTTCTCTCTCTCACACACACACACACACTCACACTCACACATGCGCACTCTCTCGCACACACACACACTCTCACACACGCACTCACACACATGCACTCACACACACACACACACTCTCTCACACGCACTCACACATGCACACGCGCACACACACACACGCACACACACTCTCACATACACACTCTCACACACGCACACACACACATGCACACACACTCACACACTCTCTCCCACTCTCAGTCACACACTCTCTCACTCACACTCACACACTCTCTCACACACACTCACACACTCTCACACACACACACACTCTCTCACACACTCTCTCACACACCCTCACACACACATGCGCACACACACTCACTCACACACACTATCTCTCACACGCACTCTCTCTCTCTCACACATATATTCTCTCTCACACACGCTCTCTTGCACACTCTCTCTCACACACTCTGTCTCTCACACACACACTCTCTCACACTCTATCACATACACACACTCTCATACACACACTCTCTCTCTCACACACAATCACGCATACACACACTCTCACACACACTCTCTCTCTCACACACACACTCTCTCACACTATCACATACACACACTCTCACACACACTCTCACACACACACACTCTCTCACACACTCTGTCTCTCACACACTCTGTCTCTCACACACACTGTCTCTCACACACACACTCTCTCACACATACACACTCACACACTCTCACGAACGCACACACTCTCACACACACACACTCTCACACACACGGGCACACACTGTCACACACACACTCTCTCTCTCACGCACATATTCTCTCTCACACACTCTCTCTCACATACTCTCTCTCACACACTGTCTCTCACTCTATCACATACACACACTCACATACACACACTCACACACACACACTCACACACACATACACACACACACACACACACATTCTCACACACACACTCTCTCTCACACGCACTCTCTCACACTCTCTCTCACACACACACACACACACTCATACACACACACTCATACACACACACTCATACACACACACTCATACACACACACTCATACACACACTCTCATACACACACTCTCTCTCACACACACACACACACACACACACATTCATATGTACACACACTCTCACTCTCACTCTCACTCTCTCTCTCTCACTCTCACTCACACTCGCACTCACACTCACACTCACACTCTCACTCTCACTCTCTCTTACACACACACTCTCAATCTCTCACACACACAAACACACACACACACACACAGCCACAGACGCAGACACACACTTTACTCACCAATACAATTTATAATACTGTTATTTGTCTCACAAACCTTGTCTAACACGTTCCCATGTCTCTCACATTTTTCTGCACAGCTGGGTGCTGGAATCTTATCTCGCACCTACCCTCAGGTGTCATATCTTTGCTGAGAAATCGTTTCTGGAAAGATGTGTCAGCAAATTTTATTGCATTCTGTCAGACTAACTCAAGGTTAAGTTAACAACAAGTCATGTCAAATCATCAATGAATTTCTATGAGCTCAAATCAAACCAAAAAGTGTTGGAGGACCTCAGCAGATCTGGCAGTCAGGAAATAGATTAATATTTTGAGTCCAGTATGACTCTTCTTCAGAACTGAAAGGGGTTGGAAGGTGTTGGTTTTTAATGCTGTTGATGGAGGGGGGTGGGGTGGAGGGGAACAGATTGTGAGGGTGCCTACGACAGATGATAAAGGCGTTGTAACAGTGGTAAGGGTGTGATAGAAATGTAAGGTAGGTGTAAATGTTATCAGAGAAAAGGAGAAAATGAGTTCATCCAACACAACACAAACAGGACACAGCTAGAGTGTGGGTGGCCGGGGACAGGGGGAGGTGGGGATGGGGTCGGTGGGAGGTTTGGGGGTGGAGAGTGGAATGTGTGAAGAGTGGAGGTCAAAGGTCATACTACAAAGGTGTGGAACTCATTACTGAGCTCTAGAGGTGTTCTCGCTCCCCACAGACTCTGCCAGACCTGCTGACTTTCTCCAACACTTCCTGCTTTTATTTCAGATTTTATCCTCATGAGTTGATATTATCCCGAAAGTTTAAAAATGAAGTCAAACTGACCGAGTGGTTATATGATTGCTGCTTAGTTTCTGATGAGTCTGTCTTGAGTTTGGGTGCATTTTTTGCATTGAATTTAGTTTAATTGAGATTAGGTTTGGTTTGAGTCAGTCTCTTGGATTGAGTTTGGCTTAATTGAGATTGAGTTGGACTTGGACCAGATCGTCGAGTTCTATTCAATGTAGAAAAGTGAGCAACAATCTTACTGAAATATATTCTGACAGAGTTTGACAGGATAACCACTGAATGTAACCCATCATGGGGGCGTTGAGAGATACAGTTTAAAGTTTCCATTTGAGTCAATGAGGAGACATTTCCGTCTCCAGGTGGGTCTCTCATTAGTGGTTAATATTGCCTTTCTTTCCAGTGAATAGTTTACGTAATATTAATGGGTCGCACAGTCATACAGGACAGAAAGGGAACCTTTAGCCCACTGAGTCTGTGCTGTCCTATCTGCCCTAGGTCCATTGACTGGAACGTTATGACACTTCAAGGGTGTGAGGTTTGAGGTTGTAGACTTGGTCGCTGAGCCGGTATGTTTGATTGCAGACGTTTCGTCACCGTGCTCGGTAACATCATCCGTGCGCCTCTGGTGAAGCGTTGGTGTTCTGTCCCACTTGTTATTTATATGCCTCGTGTTTCCCAGTGGTTTGTACACAGGGTCCAGTTCAATGTGTTTGTTGATGGAGTTCCGGTTAGAATACAGGCCTCCAGGAATTCCCTGGCATGTCTCTGTTTGGCTTGTGTGTTTATGGATGTGTTGTCCCAGTCGAATTTGTAGTGAGACCAATGAGAACATCAACTACAAATCTTCACGTTTCCTGCCTCAATTTTCCTCCCAGGCAGTGCGTTCCAGATCCCCTGCCATCCTCTGGGCGAAAATAATTTTCCTCAAATCCCCTCTAAACCTCTTGCCTTTCACTTTAAAATGATGCCCCCTTGTTATCGACCCTTCGACTAAGAGGAACAGTCGTTTCCTACCCACCCTGTCCATGTCCCTCATAATCTTATCCATGTCTATAGATCCCACCTCAGCCTTCCCTTCTTTAAAGAAAACAAGCTGAGTGTATCCAGCCTCTCTTCGTCGCTGAAACGCTCCATCTCCGGGTCAACATCCCAGTTAGTAAAGCAAAGAGCTGGGAGTCTGGAACAAAAACAGAATTGCAGGAAAAACTCAGCAGGTCTGGCAGCCTCCATGGGGAGAGAAATAGAGTGAACGTTTCAAGTCCAGTAGAAACCTTTTTCAGAACTGTTCAGAAGAAGGGTCACTGGACTTGAAACATTAACTTCTTTCAAATTCATTCGCAGGGTGAGGGCATCTCTGGTTAAGCAGCATTTATTGCCCCATCCCTAATTGCCCAGAGGGCAGTTTGAGAGTCAACCACATTGTGGTGGGTCTGGAGTCACATATAGGCCAGACCGGGTAAGGATGGCAGTTTCCTTCCCTAAAGGGCATTAGTGAACCAAATGGGTTAGTCAACCACATTGCTGTGGGTCTGGAGTCACATGGAGGCCAGACCAGGTAAGGATGGCAGCTTCGTTCCCTAAAGGACATTAATGAAACAGATAGGTTGTTCAGACAATTATTTCATCACCAGATTTTTAATTCCAGATTTTTTTTTTTATTGAACTCAAATTCCACCATTTGCATTGGTAGAATTCGAATTTGGGTCCCCAGAACATTATCTGGGTTTCTGGGTTACAGGGTTACAGTCCAGCGATAATACCACTAAGCCATCAACTCAACACCCTAATGAATCTACTCTGTACCCCCTCTAGTGCAATCACATCCTTTCTATAGTGCAGTGACCAGAACTACACACAGCGCTCTAACTGTGGCCTAACCAAAGTCCTGTACAGCTCCACCAATGACCTCTCTGCACTTACAATCCAAACCACAGCTGATGGGGCTTTGCCAGTGTGATTTGTATGGGTTTCAGTCAGGTTCTTGGGTTGAGTTGGGGTTAGTTTGATTGGGATTGGGTTTGGGTTTGACTTAGACTGGCAAGGTGCAAAGCAAGTAGACAAAACTCTGGTTGGACCTCACTTGGAGTACTGTGAGCGGGTCTGGGCACCACACCTTAGGAAGGATATATTGGCCTTGGAGGGAGCACAACGTAGGTTTACAAGAATGATACCTGGAATTCAGGGTTTAGGTCATGAGGAGAGGTTATACAAATGAGGCCTGTTTTCTCTAGAATTTAGAAGGTTAAACGGTGATCTGATTGGAGCCTTCAGGATATTGACAGAAAAAGACAGCACTGAAAAAGATAAACTGGTTGGGGATTTTAGAATTAGGGGCATAGTCTGAGAATGAGGGCCAGACCATTCAGGAGAGGCATTAGGAAGCACTTTGACACACAGAGGGTGGTAGAGATTTGGAAATCTCTTCCACAAATGGCAGTGGATGCAGGATCAGTTGTTAATTTTAAATCTGACATATTCTTTCCGTTAAGCAAAGGATGAAGGTAGGCATATGAAGTTAGGCCAGCAATCTTATTGAATGCTGTTACAGTGTTGAGGGGCTGAATGGCCTACTCCTTTCCTATAATGTGCATTCCCTCGATTATTTAACACGTTTTGGTGCTTTGTTCCCTCCCAGGCCCATTTGAACAGCTGCCCCTTCCAGCCAATCCAGTGCTCGCGATCGGGTTGTCCTGAGATGGTGCAGCGGCAAGATCTGAGTGACCATTTAATGTTCAAATGCAATCATCGAGAAGTGAAGTGTAAACACTGCCAGAAAGAGATGACAGTAGCTGAACTCGAGGTACAGAGCTTTTAGAGTTTAATCCAATTTGAGGGGCTTGCTTGGGCCATTTGAGAGGGTGCGTAGGAGTCATAGAAACCTAAACATTGAAGGCCATTCGGCCCCTCAAGCCTGCTCTGCCATTCAATGGCTGATCGTCGAGCTCAATATCCTGACCTCACCCCGTCCCCTCCGTAACCTTTGGTCCCCTTAGCCGGGACAAAGCAGCCTGTTTGATTGGTACCACATCCATCACCTTTTAACACTCACTCCCTCCACCACAGGCTCTCTACCAGAGCACCTTCCAAACCCACGACCCCTTCCATCTAGAAGGACAAGGGGAAGCAGATACATGGGAACACCACCCCCTGCAAGTTCCCCTCCAAGCCACTCACCATCCTGACTTGGAAATACATTGCCGTTCCTTCAGTGTCGCTGGGTCAAAATCCTGGAATTCCTTCCCCAAGGGCATTGTGGGTCGTAGATGGCAGCGATTCAAGAAGGCAGCTCACCAACACCCCTTCTCAAGGGGCAATTAGGGATGGGCAATAAATTCTCACTTTATCCATATCAGCAAACAAATAATTTAAAAAAAAAGGCATGGGGACAACAAATATTGGATGTGTCAGTCGTAACTAGAGAATGAGTAAACAAAAGAATGCGATGGTGTTGGTTCAGTTGACTCAACGGTTGGCATGTGGTTTGGAGAGAAATTTGATTACCCCAACACCCCCTCCACAGGCTAAGGTGGACCCACAAGCTGACTCCTTCCCCTACGCCCTGGAAGGCAGAACATTCCTGACCAACAGCGAACAGGACATTGGCTCAGGGTGAAGCATCAGCAGATGATGTGCCACAGAATTGCCTTTCAGATGGTAGCAGAAAGGGTGAGGGCCCAGGGCAGGGAGCTGTGCACGACAAAGTTGGTGAGACCGTGGATCCCTCTGATGGCACAAGTTTCAAGAAGGAGGGAGACAGAGACCTTGTAGCTAAAGGCATCGAGAAATATGAAGGGGTTTTGGAGTATTGAGCTCTATTGAATGGGGGAGCAGGCTCGAAAGGGCTGAATGGCCCACTCCTGCTCCAATCTTTTATGTTTATACGGGCGGGCCATTTCACCATCATGACTGCACAATCAGAGGAGTGGGACAGGGTGAGATATATTAAGTATGGGTCTGTCTGTGAGGAGTCACCTGGACATTGTCAACCTAGCTAGAATTCTGTTTAACAAAGCGTTTAACCCCCTTTATGAGCTGAAGGCATTTTATTTTACCCCCTTCAGGTACACGAAGAGGGTGAGTGCCTATCTTCTCTGGTCACGTGCCCAAAAATCTGTGGGGCACGTGTTCACAGGACTGAGGTAAGACTTTCAGTTTACAGAGGTACTTTGGTGGTTTTCAGGCAGAAATACAAAGCCACAGAAAGTAACACGTAGGCTTTTTTAAAAAAAAATCATTCACGAAATGAGGACATCTCTGGCAGGACCGGCATTTATTGCCCATCCCCTATTGCCCCAGAGGGCAGTTAAGAGTCAAAACCATTGCTGCGGGTCTGGAGTCACATGTAGGCCAGACCCGGTGAGGATGGCAGTTTCCTTCCCTAAAGGGTCCTTACCAATCCTTACCTGGTCTGACCTACATGTAACTCCAGACCCACAGCAATGTGGTTGACTCTATAACTGCCCTCTGGGCAATTAGGAATGGGCAATAAATACTGCCCAGCCAGCAAGGCCCACAACCTGTGACTGAATTTTTTAAAAAAACCTGGGACAGATTGTCGTCAGCTTTCCTGCTCCTCTGATGCTGCTTGGCCTGCTGTGTTCATCCAGCTCTACACCTTGTTATCTGGGACAGACTGGCTTGTGTCTGACCCAAATTGGAGGTTGATTCAGGGCCTTGTGAGTCTGTGTCGGGAAGGTGCTGAGGTGAGGGTGAGGTACACGACACACAGATCTCCAAAAATAATCCATCCATTCGAGTTATCCCCACCCCAACCCCTTGTGGCGGAGGGTCGGAGATTGAGTCTTAGATTGATCAACGCCTCCCTATCCATCAAACCAAGTCACCCCCAATCTCAAGGAACAGCATTAGACAAGGATGGAGGATTATGTCAAATTTTCCTTGGATTGGCCTCTGGAACAGGCTCCCTAAATCCATCCACCCCGCTCTCTCTTTCCATGTCTTCCCGAGGCCTAGCTATTCAAACTGACCCATTGCTGGTTACTGCTAACTCCTGCGGTTTTGACCCATCTTTGAAGTGCTCTGCTACATTTCTCTACGTTTTGAGGGCTGTACATAATAAAACGTTGAACTTGGGTAGGACCATATGGTGAACAAAAGAGAGGATCTTCACAGCTGGAATTTCACCTGTCAGTGGGCAACTCCTTTAAATTCGCACCCACGCCCTCATGCCGCACCCCCCACCAAAGGTCCGAAGAATTCAGAGTAAATGACAGATTTATACTGCTATGGAACAGACCAAACTCCCTCAAAATATATTAAGAAGGCAGCCTAGACCATAACTTTTTCTTATTTTAAAGGTAAATGTGAGGTGTTGCGTTCCAGATGCAATGCAATTAGTCAAACTATCAGATTTAAAGCAATACACACTTTATTCGTCCATTCTACTTAAAATACAACAAAAAGAAGGAAGGAATTGTAGCAACTTAACTCTTTTGGAAAATTTCACAGAGTAATAGATACAGTAACTACGACTAATTAACCATTCCAATATAGCAACATCCCATAAACACACCCTTGGCAAAAAAGCAAATTCAGAAAACAGATTGTCTCACATGCAGCTCCAGCAGCCTAGGAGGAGAACACCCAGCTTTTGGCTGTAACTGAGAGAGGGGGAGAAAAAATAGCTTCCACCTGTTTAAGACCACAGCAACTGCTGAAAGCCAAAGCTAAATATCCTGGTTCTGTGAGACCCTGACCACACCCAGCCAGGCTGCTTCTATTGTTTTAACTTTTTAAAAAACCCTCAAGGCCTCACTGTGTGGAGCTGGAGGAACACAGCAGGCCGGGCAGCA